GAAGATCATCGTCTTAAGCGATATGATAAGTCGAAATTATTTTTGGCATGCAATGCAAGCTTTGCCAAAAATATGGCCGATACTTTATTATCGCCCTTAGCCATATATATACTGATGCTCGGGGGGCAAGATGAAGACATATACATGGCCGACATTTTTTATCGCCTTTAATCAAATTCGGCCGATTAAATATACGTGCTTAAATCGTGGCCGGCGTTGTTGCTTCCCTTAAACATATATGGCCGATTAAATGTATTAATCGTGCTGCTAGCAACATACATGCAGATGGCCAGCAACTGTCTTGCTTTACCTTTAGGCCGATTTAATATTGGCATTTAGCTTCCAAGGTGCTATATATTAGCGTCCATGCATGACAAGCTATGCGTACAACTTGGTGCTTATTCCAGTTGCGTGTTGGAGTCTTTGTGTGAGAAGGGGAGAACAATCAGTAGCTGTTATTGCTGCTGTCTATGGTGTTAAACAACAGCAAAGCCGATTTCTCAAATCGGTCTAGTGAAGGTGGATCAAAAACCACTAATCACCTACAAACCGAGGCAATCAGATGTTGGAACTTGGAGAGCCAACAAAGCCAAGAATTCCAGCAAGGAGGTGCCATTATAATCAGCTTTTGACCAAATTCTAAACAAGCATATACCAAGCAAAGGGCCGATTTGATGAATCGGCCCATAAAAAAAGAAGTTCAGTCACCTCAAAAACAAATTTATGTGCCTAAAAAGAGGAAAATTGTTGCTGCTCCTATGAAGGCTGGCAAAATTCTAATTGGTTCCATGGAAGTTCCATTTAATGAAGTTGACGAACCAATTGTTGTTGCAAATATGGCTAGAGTCCAAATATTTCCAACCAAGGTGGTGCAAGGAACTTCAGCAAGCCTAGAGTTGCTTGGATGATGGCCGATATACATATATCGCCCTTAGAACAATATGGCCGATGTATACATCGTCTTAGATGCTAAGTAGCCGATGTGTTGGACATCGTGGCTATTTAGTGCTTTATGTTTTCAGGTTCCAATAAACCTCACCTGAAAACAGGGGGGGCGTATGTTCACACTCAAATTTGTCCAAATGCATTATGGTGACTCGGCTTGGTTAGCCGAGTATGCATTTTTACTCGGTGGAGCTGTCCACATGCATATGGATATATCTTGGTTATTTTGTGAAGACATGAAGCTGCAAGCAACGTAAGACACGGCGACGAAGAGGGTTTCTGTATAAACATGAACCTTTCCTGCTCAGGAGTTTCTCGGACATCGGCCGATCAACACGTGCAGGTGTAATAAGATGAGGCGACAAAGTTGGAAAAGGTTACTACATGTGCATGCAGGCAGCAGGTTTTGATTCGGATCCCACGATGTGCGAGTACTTAGCATGCATGGTGTGATTACTAAAAGGAAACAAAGACGGAAAGTCAATTCATATGCATGCAAGGCGTGAGCATGCATGTCGTGGGGGATAAAGATAGAAAGATTATGCATATATATGCATATACAAGGCAAGTACATAAGCAAGTTGATTTTGGACTCTACAATAAATGCCGTGATTACTTAGAAGCCAAAGGTGGAAAGACAGCTCACGCGGCGGACGGCTAACCGAATCAGATTAGATTTGAGTTTAATCGATAGGCTATTTTGGCCTCTCTATAGGAAAGACCAGCCGCCCTATAAATATAAAGGGTGACGGCCGATTGAGGTATTCCAACTACACAATCGTCAAAAAACAAATCAATCTACTTCAACCCTTTTACTCTCTTTTCCAGCCCTCATGCTGTTCATCCCTTGATCCGACGACCAAGGATGGCGCCCCAGGCTTGCCGGCTGACCTAGGGTAACCCGACGACGTCCTTGCCCCGACGGGGTCCCTCCCGGGCGAGAGCTTCGACGGTTTCTTTGCTAGTTTGCTTGAAAACTAGCCGGTTCTTCGTCACGCAAGCACGTTGGTTATCCTTTTGTGGTTTGCTTGTAAACCTCGCCGCTCTTCACCGCGAAAGCGTGTTGGTTATCTGCTGCGTTCTTTGGTCCGTGGCGACCCGGGCGATCTAGCTGGTGTGTGATCTAGGATTATTCCGGCGTCAACACACACCAATCACTAATTTCAGGTCGAGGATGCCCACCTATGCACATGTCACAACTACGATGCGACAAATACCATGCAGCCTGCACGCGGCCACCACTAACCGCCCCCGCAATTCCTGTGTTGTCCGCATGTGCACGCCGGTGCTGCATCGCCGTTCACACCCTGACCATCACATGGCTGCACGCATGTGGAAGTGTTTGCGCTTTTCACCGCCGCTCATGAGCCATGCCCACAAACTTCGACGTCGCATCTGGATCTCATCCGTTGGGGCAGCACTGTTGCCGCCTTGATGTACCCACCAGTCCACCACTGGAGACAAATTGGGGAGGGGAGACGCCTCAGGTCATCCAAATTGCGACCATCAGATGCCTCAAGGAAGTAATATAAATAGTATATCATCGGTCGACCATTCGTCTGCCTATCTAGCAGTTTCCTGATGCGTGAATGGCTGATGCATCAATTGCTCAGAGTGGGAGCCCATCGGTGTCTCTTGATCTACTCCGTGATATTTGGTGGGAGTGGGATCGGAGTCCAGCGCCCAGCGAACTCAATAGGGGAGAGGGAGAAGACGCTAGTGGTCATGATGACGTGGCTGCAGGATATTGCAGAGAAATCAGCCATCGGTGTCTCTTGATCTACTCCGTGATATTTGGTGGGAGTGGGATCGGAGTCCAGCGCCCAGCGAACTCGGTAGGGGAGAGGGAGAGGACGCTAGTGGTCATGATGACGTGGCTGCAGGATATTGCAGAGAAATCAGCTAGTGGGGATCTCCTATTTAGATATAGTAGATACATGCTGATGAAGCTAATAATTTTATTCAGTTTTGTTACTAAAATCGATATTTACCTTTCAACAACTTCATTATTATAATTTGTCTTTTGACATAATTATTGAACATACAATTTGCCTATTCAACAACTTTATTATTATGTTTTTTTTTTCTAAAGTGGGCAGTTTCTTTAGATAACAGAACCCCTTTCACTATAAAGTTTGAATTTGAGGTTAGTTAGGAACTTCGATATTGATGTTACAAATCAGGGCATGGCTACAAATGTAGAAAAACATGTGCATATGAGATCTATCACAAACCAAAATTCATGGCACTGAAAATAAGTGCCTGGCTTAGCTGAAGCTGGTCTATGTTTTTAAATCATCTAATTGACCCGAATCGCCATGGCACCGATAAGATGATTAGTCGTGATTAGTCATCAATCAGCTTGATTAGTCAGGCCTAGTCAACCACGTCATCCTGTATGTACCAGGACCATTATACTATATAGTTACTATATAGTATCTGTGGTATAGAGGCTATATAAAGCAAGAATTAAGACTAGGGGTGTAAGTGGGTTAGCCCATGAACCCGCATATAGGCTTAATTTTGTGGGTTGCCATGAGTAACCCACAAAATTAAGCTGATATGCGGGTTCACGGGCTAGTCCACTTGCATCCCTAATTAAGACAGCATGGATGGTCAGTTGGTCGCCCGTTAGGTTTGATTTCTAAAGTGTCCAGAACTCAAGATCCCAGTTCCAGACTCCATATTCTTGCTGATTTGCTGCTGCAATAACAAAGAACTGAAGTAGCTGTGAAATAAATAAATAACAGTGTAACTAGAGCAGAAGGAGTAGAGCTAGACATGGAATTGGACTTAGAATGTCCAGAGTCCCATTGGATTTTTCCTTCCTGGATTTCAATGGACTGGATATATTCTGGACTTCGATATATGTGGATATGAAGTAAAAAAACATGGATTATTGGATATCCTACATGCAAAATCCAAACATCCATGGATCACCCAGCATAAAACACCCTGTGCTGGGCATCCATGAGGCCAGAGTGACGCCTCCGAGCTTGCCAGGACGTCGACGAGCTCCTGGTCGTTGTAGTGGGAAATCAGCTTGTCATGGATGAGTTGCTGCCCCTACCTCTTGAGAACGCAGAAGAGGGTGGCTGGGGTGTCGATGTGGGCGAGGCCGATGTTGGGCTGGAAGATGGTGTCATGTCAGGGCCAGGAAGGTACCGTGCTTGTGCCAGCACTTGCTGTCCCCTGCAGCGCACAAAACGGCCGTGAGGTCGGGCAGTGCCGGGTCCACCTAGGCCTCCTCCCCTTGCAGGAATGGGCATGTGGCCAGGGCATCATCCAGAGACCATGACAGCGTGGTGGCACAAAGCAAAATCGATGAGGTCTTTCCGTCCTTGGTTTCATACGATGCCATGGCGGCTGTGTTGGATGATCAGCAGGTGTATCAGCGACGCCGGCGGCTGCCGCAGGCAAAGCCCGCGTCAGATGCCACAGCGATGAGCTTGAGCCACAACCGCCCTCTGAATCGCTGCAATCTCAACCCGCAGCTCCGCCCGGCCGCCTGTAGCAATTGGAATCACCTAGAGGCGTCCAGCAGCATGACAAAACCTTAGAGTACTTTGATAATTGGATATTTTGTTGGATTTTGGATTTTACAGTTATTGGATTGGATTTTCTTTTAAATTCTACACGGATTCGGACTTCTCATATTTGGATATTCCATGGACTCCTTTCATTTGGATGTGGATTGAATCAGCAAACATGCTATCATAGCAGCCAGCATACATAACACTTAACCAAACACATCTCCTCGCCCTTGGGTCCAGTAATAGTTAGTTTGATGGTCGAGGTTGTTTGCTGTTTGTAGTCATTGGCGAGCTACTTAATGTGTGGGTGTTCTGTATATGTGGTGTTGGTTTTGTGGTGTGTATGGGTTCTAAAACCCTTTTCTTCTTAATATATTGATACCAGCTCTCTTGCATATTCAAGAAAAAAAAAACAATTAACCAAACAAGTTCAGTACAGTACAGGCAACACAATTTTAGTTGCTGAATGCATATCAACAATTCAACACAAGCAGCCAGCCAATTAAATAAGCAAATCATCATTCAATTGAAATGCCCCTCCCTAGTTGCTGCTATAGTTGCAGGTGCACTAGAATCTTCATCCTCATCCGTTCCTACTTTTGATTCAGATTGCTGCCCTTGTGCTTCATCTCTCTCATAATTATCACTGTTGTCTTCTTCAGCTGTATCTTGTGCAGCAGCTATCTTCCTTGGACACTTTCTTTTCCTAGCATATGTTTGTCTGACAGAGATAGCAGCTCGAGCAGCAGCAGCTCTCAAGTTAATGACCCCGTAGACTGTTGAGTTGCACCAATAACTTTGTCAACATGAGTCAAGTGATATCTGCTCCATTGCCTTCATGAACTGGTTCACAATTTTCATCTACACATTCATTTCCTCACTGAAATTCTTGAGGGGGTTGCATTTTTTTCCTTTGAAGCCAAGCTCTCTAATTTTTGCATTAAACAAAACCAGTTTCATCTAATAGTGTTTACCTAAAGAACCACTGTTAATATGACTTGTGCTTATTGAAACATACCCTTGATGTTTCTGGCCCATCTTGACTTAAGAATGTATCGTAAGAACAATATGATAAATATCTCATTTCCAAATGGATTGATTCATGGAGTAACCCAAGCGACCTGGGCAACTTACTCTGGATGGTAGATAGGTGTATCTAGTTTGATCTAATTTTCTTATGTAAGTTTGAATCTGAATCTTCTAAAAATCTTGTGCTGTCCTCTTATACATTCATTTTATGTCACTGTTGTAGGCAATCTTCTACGATCCGGTGACATCAGAGGCTTTCAATCCATGGCAAAAATGTATACAAAACTTGCTGCAATGCCAAAGAAAAACTAAGTTTGCAGGATGTAATGGAACATCGATGGCAAAAATGTATACAAAACTTGCTGCAATGCCAAAGAAAAGCTAAGTTTGCAGGATGTAATGGAACACGTGTATAAGGCATGGTGCTAGAGAAAGTTGTGACGTAACCGTATCTATACTTGTAGTATATCTTTTTATCACTAACTCGTTAAATTTGATGCTAGAGAATGGCACCACTAATATTGTTTGTTCTTTTCAAGTATGTTGTGTTATTTCCCTGTAATTTCCTGCTTGCAACCTAGGTTTGCAAACTAGTCAATGGAGAAATATCAATCTACAGCAGTCCCTGATAGCATTCTTATAATCAATGTTAGTGGCACTAGAACTCGAGAAAACCACGGGCTTTAACAATACACTATCTTCATCCTCAAATATATGCATTTATGACATCAGATTTGTCTACAAATGAAAGCATTCCTAGAGTAACCTTAGTTAAAGGGGCTTTGATTTGTTAGCTTTAGTCCCACATCAGAAATTGATGTCTTTGTATGCCAGTGGGCTCTATGGACCTAAGCTTGGGTCTTAGGGGGCACTAGCTCGTGGATATAACAAGCTGGGTTAGATTTGCTGCGCACTCTAAAATAATTAGATCAATTCTCAACCTTTCTTGCCGGCCTTAGTCTTTTTCCATGTGGCTTAATTGTTCTAAAAATCCTAGAAATATAATTGTTGATGGAATAGACCGAGGAACAGCATTTCGATGCCCATTGTTCATGGTTTGATTATGTGTGCTTTCAGCAAGAGTCCAACGCCTGAAGCCATGATCAAGATTCAACATGTGCACACAACTGAATGTGATAATTGTGATCATTGATCAATGTCTGTGAACGGATGCTTAACCTTTCGGGACCGATTTGCAGCATACAAATACATGGTTGCAGAACTACGTTCCAGAAATGCTAGTAACTAAACACCAATAATGTCAAGAACATAAGAAAAATAATTCTTCACTAATTTGTGCGGTTTCAGCCCATGAGTAATACATCTACCCAGTTTCAAAAAAAAAAGCCATCCATTTCCAACCTGATTGAAACGGATCAGATATGACGTCTTCGGCAAAAGCAGTCCGTGCTGCATTTCAAACTTTTCACCTATTTTTCAGATTCTTCAGCAGTGACTTAATGCCGCTGGTTACACATCTTGTAAATGTAAAGTGAGGACATGCATCTCTGACGATGAACAGTGAAAACTGAAATTGATAGTCTACATTAACTTCTTTTCTCCCAGTGCGACCATAACGATTAATGGGCATTTAGCAACAGCAGTTTTAGGAAACAAAACATGCATAGAAGGGTCACTTCACACTTTGCTGAAACTACTAAATAGCCCACCATTCATATTAATGGAGGTACAACTCGTAGGGAATGTAGAAACTAGAACCTTCCTTCATTTTTCACAGCTGGAGAACGCAAAAGGGCTCTCTATCGGAAGGTAGAAGAGAACCAGAAGTTCCCAGTGGCTGCCTTGGGAACTATTCATTCATAGAGCTGACGCCATCTAGCAAATCCAGTACAACAATTGCAGAAGAGTCTGTGCTTTACCATGTGAAACATGCACTTCCACAGAGGTATCTTCTGCACAATCATCCGAGAAGTGTTAAAACATTGAAATACCTTGTGATAACAGCATGATTTACAAATGATGATCTCCTAGAACATAGCCATTTACTTGAGTCGAACCGTAATATTTTCCTTTTTTGATCCATGGTATTAAGAGGAATGAAGGTCGATTTATGTACTCCCTCCGTCTCAAATTAAATCAACTTCTAGAGTTGTCCTAAGTCAAACTATTTTATGTTTATAGAAAGAGCACCAATATTTACGACAAAAGCAGTCCTTGGTTTCATGAATGTTGTTACTTTTTTCTATAAAGCTGGTCAAACTTAACATAGTTTGACTTAGGATGATTCTAGGAATTGATTTATTTTGAGGGAGGTAGTATGTTTAACTTAGTGCCCCTAGTTTTATCGGATAATTCTACCTTCTACAGTTTTCCTTTTTTTTTATGAAGCATTCACTCCTAGTATACATAAAGTACATTTTCTTGTAAAATGCTTATATACATAATTGGAAAAAAAATCAATAAAGACTGTAAAATACAAAAGCAGGCTATATATAGAGGATTGCAATTTTTTTGTATAGGTTAAAAACAAAGTTCAGAAAAATTAGTGAATGTAACCTTTTTTTTGCTCCACTCTGTACCGTTTTCTTTTGTTTTTGTTTCATCTAGTATGTAGAGTTGTATGTAAGGAGCATTTGCATAGATAATAGTACTATAAAAGATAGCCATTTCAAACAGGACTTGAGAAGTGACAAGAGCTCTTAGTGAAGAAACTTGCAATCAATAACATGATAAGGTACTTCAAAACATGTCAAGTATTCTTGTTCTCTAAAAACATATTTGAATAATCGTCGTCGATTTGGTTTGAAGATAACGCACGATTTGCTCAAATAAGCCACAATGGCTGGTGCAAGTTCTTAAACAAAACCTGTAGTGTCCATATCACAACACAAAGGTAAGATGTGCCTGAATCCTGATGTAGATTGTCTTACAAATTTCCCAAATTTTTATATGCAGGGAAGGACAAAATGCCTAATACTAATTGAATGCCCAATTGTCTAGGTGTAAATTTGAGACTCAGTGATGCTACATTCAAAACTGTAAACATGAGATGTACTATGCCCTAATTTAAAATTCTGAAGTCACATGGGTTTGGTTTTAAATATTCTGTCCTTGACCAACTCAACAATAGAAAATTCATGATAATCCTCCACGTTGTTAGCACAATGGATCCACCAAAATTTAATTCATACCGTGCAAATTTCTATGTACAGAGAAAGATAATACTTTGACAGAGATGAGTCCATGATCACAGCTTACCTCACAGACTGATTTGAACTTGTCTTCATTTTCTTCCTGGTAACTTGTCTTCTCCTTGGTGGTTGCAGCACTACTTTAATTGCAGTGTCGAACACAGCCTTTATGTTCTGTTTTCAGATGATTAAAACTCATTATTAATCTTTCCTGAAGTTCTTGACAACGTATGTTTATTTGGAGAGGATGTCACAAGGGAGAACCAGATATTGTCAGGCTGTAATGTGTAAACTGTAATGACCAGAAACATACCCTCTGTGTCTTTGAGCTGCATTCTATGTACGCCACAGCACCTATCTGCTTTCTGAGCTCTTCTCCCTAGCGTTATAAGAGAATAATGTTATCAGTTGCAGTGACTGCTGTGCAGGTGCCCTTTGAGTTCTTAAGAAAAAATATCCTAAATTGATTGAATGATGATTCCATTCTTTGGTCATATTACATGTTCGGTAGAGATGATGGAAGCAGCAGAATGGTCAGCAAGGTAAGATCTGTCTTCACGGAGATCTGCAGTGGCAGAAAGTTTGAACTGAGAAGATCTTTCTTCGCCTGGATAAATACATAACTATTATGTTTGGATTGTTTAGGCTATAATGGTATCAACCTTACCTAGTTTGGTTCCAACAAGAACTACCGGAACACTAGGTGAAAATCGGCGAAGCTCTGGCATCCACTGTACAAAAGGACGCTGATTCTCAGTACTCAATTATTATTGTATGACAATCTAAACTGATACATCCATGTAACAAGTCCCAAGGGTTGTGAACTATGGTCGTCTGTTATTGAAATGCTTCCTTCAGGAATATAGATAAATTCGAGCAATACAATAGAAACCAAAACATATATCACGAGTCCAAGATGCCATTGCTTTCCTACAAAGTTCAATCATCAGCTATGGGTTTAAGGCGTTAACATTACTTCCAGAGCGCAAACTGTAAAATAAAAATAACTGATTTGTGTTGAAATATACCATACTCGAATGCAACAAATCATCACCCCCAATAAAGAACTTTGCAGGATTCCAGTGAGTCAAGAACTCTTAATTGCGGTTGTACCGATCCCCAACTGTCTACATAGGTTTCAGTTTAAATTTTCGCCCTGAACTATTCTCATTACCTTCTTCAAGACGTTCAAGTTGCCGCAATATTTTGTTGTTTATTAGTTTCAAGTTTGAACTCGGCTGCCTGTAGAGAGTAGATCTTGTAAGTGCACGGACACTGCTGAGGACCTTACTACGTGCAAGGAGGCTTAGAATTGTTCAAGAACATCTTTTCTTATAAGTGCATGGACACCTTATCATCATTTACTTGAACTCGATGTCTTGTGGATTGAATCGCACACCGTAGTTAGGAACATGTAGCGAGACATTAGTGCTAATCAGCCAAGGTGCTGGCACCTGGCATGTTTCGTTCTGCCTTTGAGGCTTTGGACACGCGAATCCGTTCTTCTTTGGCCCCTCTCTCGTCAGATCCAAGCTTTTGTACGCTTCCCAGTTCGCTCCACGTGATTTGTGCCTGTGCGTGCGACTATTCTAGTAGCGTTCTTTTGTTTTGTAGAGGCGCCATTTGGGTTGGTAAGCGGCACACGTGTGGCTGTAAAAGAACTCGTACAGTAAACAATGTTCATTCTCAGCTTGGACAACGTGTTTATATACTTGTAAAATGGAAAGTTTAATTTTCACAAATGTATGCTAATGATAGTATTTCCGGTCATAATTAGACATGGTTTACAAAAATAATTAATGGGAGTACATTAATAATAAGTCATTCCTGCCCCCTCTCTTCTTTTGCCACATAACG